ATGTTAAATCAATTTTGTCCTGGATCTGATGTAATTCCTGTGACACCACTTTCCAGAAACGTTCCCGTGTCACTACAGTGCGAAACTTGGGGTGCCATTTTACAATATTGTGAGTAGGTTGTAACACAACTTATTTTGTCTGTCAACACGAGCCACAAAACGGCCGTGACAAGGTGTAGGTTCCTACAGCTCGTCAACATCAACAAGCCCTTGCTATTGCCTGTTACCTCACCTGCTCTTCCGCTGATTAATGGCAGCGTCAAGTGATTTTCGAGCAATAGACAGAGAACAGAAGGATTCAGTTCAGAGGAATCAGATCGGGTGCAAAGAGGCTGATTCAGATCAAATGAATAGCAAAGAAAAGGAATGAGAGGAAAGGAAAAGTGTTCCAAGTTTGAACGTGGGTTGACCGAATTCTCACGTATTAGCTATGTCGTGCATTGCCGAGGTGCAGTGGCAAGTCACACGCTTACCACGCGCACGGTTCCAGGTTCAAAACCCGGATCGGCTCCCGCCCAGGCAGCCAAGCCTTCCAGCCTCCGAGGAAGCCAGATTTGTCTAGGTGTTAAGATCACTGACCATGGGCTGACCCACGCAATTCAATGTATCGGCCACAGCGCACAGTAAGTGACCTTCTCAATGGACTCTTTTGGAATGCGTGTGGCATTCCAAAATGGAGTTGACCAACGGCGAAGACTTTTTATCCCTTACCGTCTTGTCAACGGGATGATGATTTTGGGTAATTAGCTATTCTCTGAAAGCCGATATCCTGTGAACCCGAAGATTTGTCCAGCGAACGTCGCTGCGGCTGCCACCTGATAGCCAGACTTTTATGCAAGTGTTCTATTTACAGAGCATGAAGAATCCGGTGTCTCTCAGCTGCAAAACCCCCAACACTCAATGTGGTGGGCAGATCTAGAGGTTTTCACCGCGCTGAACGACGTTCTGCTCAAAGCACCAATGTCCTGCTCACAGCACTAAACGGTAAGAATCACGACAGAGACGTGCATTAGCCATTTCTTGAAAAGAGTAGAGAGTATGCCAAGGAAAACTATAACCTGGGCAACCAATATCATGTGACGTAGACGAAAATCCAGGTGAACCAACTCATCTTTGTAAAGCGATACTGTTAGATGATTCACAGGGGAATCAAGACTGCCTTCGAATACTATCGTGGATTTTGACGGAGTAAGCTCTATTAGTTGTTAGCCCTTTAAGGGCCCCAACGAAAGCAAAGAAGATGAAATACCTGCTCACCATGAGGTGAGCTGAAGCTTTTAGATACACAACCCTTCTAGGTGCTCCTACTCTTTTAAAGATTGCTGTCAAGTTAGAATTTGCTCAAATGTGGTTCACGCTTCGCTTTCGATTCTCAGTCGCAGGTTGAGCCGAGAAAAACTCTGTGCTAAATAAAAAGCTGGTGCTAAAATCGATATTCAACATATGGTTAAGAAGTCATCACATGGTGGCGAGGTTCATGGAAAGTCGAGATGCTGTTAAGTGGATTCTTGTTAAAAGTGAAGGGTTCTGAACGGGTCATGATATAATGCCCTCATTACAGACGAGCTGATGGGTTCAATCAACGTTGAGTAAGCTGCATTAGCCATTTCTGAAAAGGACTTTCCGAAGAACACGGAAGTGCATTCAGAAGCTGCTGAATTTTCTTGCACGTACTCTCGGCAGGCACTGGTTCATTATTGCAACTTTTGCTTGTGAAAAACTCTCTAATGACGTGCGGTTCTTAAGAACGTGAAGTTCTGTTGGTGTAAGCAGCACCACACAGGAACGTGACTCCTGTCCATACACTACTGCAAAAAAAAGTTTGCAAAAGAACGTGATTAATGGTCCTCTAGAGATATGTTGTAAAGCAGAACAGCTCTCAGATATCACATAATCCTGGTGTCTTTTCAGTGGAGGAGAAATTCGATCGAAAGGAATCAAACTTTACAATAACTGAGTAACTTCACAACATAGCATTGCCTACAGAGCTAATATTAGCAGTATAGAAGAATGGCTTATGCAGGTGCAGGAGCCACGGCAAAGTTAGCCACTAAGTAAGTTTTCTAGCGGAGGGGATCGCTCTAGGGAGGCTGCCAAATATTAGTATAGCAGACCCTAAGCAATCGATTATGCAACAGGGATTCCCCCCACATCCGTTTCGCGACAGGTCTTGATTAGAGGCACGCGGTTCCTGCCTTCGGAGCTTATAGTTAGAATTGAAATCATCAAATTCAACCAAAACAATAAACAATTTCGAGAATATTAAGGACTGACAAAAAGAGCACTCACTGTCAATCTTGGGCGCGCTCACAGTCACCACCGGGACTTCATTCACAGCTACCGCTTCTGTTGGCTTTGATTCTTCTTTCTGGAGCTGTTGGAGTTTCTGTGCAGCTTCCTCCAGAATTTCCGGAGTGTTATGGTCAATAATAACTGGTTCTTCATCAGCCTTCGTGGCGCGACCACTGTCATTAATTCTCATTGGATTGATTTGGATGGGTTGAAACACCTCCAAACGCTGACGGGACATCTCTTTGCGTTTGAGGGTTTTAAACACTTCACTTTCCACGGAGTCTTCCGTGGTGCTGCCTTTTTTTGGAGGTTCGACTTCTTGGAAGGATCCTTATGACTAGACTTATCACGGCTGTTTGTTCTGCTGGCGCTAGATGGTTACTTTGGTTTGCTTTTACGGTCTCTTTTTGGCAGGATCCTTATAGACTAGACTTATCACCGCTGGTTCTGCTGCGGTAGGTGGTTCACTAGGTTTCTTAGTCTCCTCGTTTTTGGCGGGATCCTTATAGACTAGACTTATCACGGCTGGTTCTGCTGCGGCAGATGCTTGACCAGGTTTGTTAGTCTCCTCGTTTGTGGCAGGTTGGGCGGTCTTGGGCGTTTCCGGTTCGTCTTTACGAGGTTCCTTGTCTGTATGAGAATCCACCTTCTGCTCTGTTGTTGGGAGTGGCTCGGACGGCTCCTTCCGAGATGCGCCATTACCATTATCTTGACCTCTGAACAGTAGACTGATTACTATAGCATTTCCTCCGCCGATCTCTGACCAGGATTTGCCGTGTCATTATCGCCGCATGGCACACATTTTTGGTACTTGCGCTGGACTCGGAGTTTTGAAGCGGAGAAAAGTTGCTTATAGACTTTCGACCGGTACATCTCCTTCACGTTCCTCGTTCTTCGATTCTTCAGTAGGATAATATCGAACTTCGGTAGATTTTGGTTGAAAAACCACTGGGATTTCTATGAAAGTCTCAGGTTCTTCTTCGTCAGGTTTTGGAGCAGTTGTAGAGGGAGCATCACCGGTTGGAGGTTGATCAGATGCTGGTATCGAGTCGTTCCTCGCGAAATCCATAACGCATATCATCCTGAAGACACCGAGGCAATGCGAAATGATGTACACTGCGAGACCGCCCCACCTCTCCGCTCAACGCCGGCATCTTTTTCACATGACTTATGCCATTGTCTCGTCAATAAAATCACGACTCAGCGCAACATTTAGTGGGCCAGCTCGAAGTACACTCAATTTACAGTCAGTTTACTTAAGGTCTGCTCTAGTCTGGATATCCGCACTCAGGTTCTCCAAAAACAAGTGCAACGGTGAAATATTATGGGTAGTGCGGTTCAGTTGTGAAAGTGCAAGCGCTAAGTGAAGGAAATATATCACGTCCATAAACAATCGCACAGTCTCATTGTACGAGTTTTCCGGCCTCGCTGGCAAACCAACATCCTACGGATTTGTGCCACCTCCCAAAAAGGCACCAATCATTGATTATTACGGTACTTAATGCACTGGAAAACACTTTGCGCCCGACGAGCTGACCTTAAGACGTTTTGATTCGGGAGTATTGGTGTTTAGATTCCGCATTCATGGAGATGGATCAAAAAAAAACAAATACATCATTACCTTCCTCCCTTTTGATAGTTCGCACTTGAAAGCACAGTACGAGCTTGACCAGGGCGTCCAAGAAGAAAAGGGTGGCCAGGGATGGGCTCGCTCTACAGGATGAAGCAGCCGGGTTCGGACCCCTCGACACAGAAGTCTTTGCTTTGACTCCGATGAGAGGCTTCTCACATTTTCGAGACTTCCTCTGAATTCTTAGGAGCCCAAGTTTAGTTTCGATCTTAAAGACAGCCTCCGCGCTCGAGTAGTACATGGTCGTCCTTCCTTGTGCAAGTAGTACAGCCCCAAAGCTAGAGACTGCTTCTTTTTTTACCCACATTCATTCGTCTCCACAGCCGAGCCGAGAGCGAACTACAGCCGCTCTGTATGTTTTCTAGTTCTAACGCCTGCTCAGTTGGACCGCCTTACTTGCTAGATGTCCTCCGACGGAGGCCACTCAGTTGTTCTTAGTTGGGGCGGCGGGCATTGCTAATGCCCATGGATAATTCTGCTCCCCTTTATTACAGTTTACTCATTGGAGGTATATACATTCAATTCAACTCATTTCGCGAGGTGAAACGCGTAGAAGCACGGAGTGATGCAATTTTTCGCTGATGGCAAACCTCGACGCACAAAAACGTGCGCTACCGTAATCCCAAATTCAGACACCGCGTTGATAAAATTCCTTTTTCCTTCCAAGAGTTTTTCCTCTGCGTTTTTGTTGTTTTCTTTTTGTATTCTTTTTTTGCACTGGATGATATCAACTACTGCGAGATGTGATAGAGAGATTTGTGAGCTAGGGGTTGCACAGAGACCGCTGGGAGGTGTGACTGTGAGAGAAGCGAATCTTGTTTTATGTTGTTCTGGAGGACGCTTTTGCACTGTTTTCTTCTTTGCTTTGACTCCGTTGAGAGCTTCTTCACAGTTTTCGAGATTCCTCTGAATTTTAGGAACCCAAGTTTAGTTTCGATCTTAACTTGACCAGAAACTTGACCTGGGAGACAGTCAGATCCCCTGAATGTGAGTATGATATCCGTTTTAAGCGAAAGGCCTGTGGCACGCAGCACCCATCATGAACCACCGAATTCGCCAAAACTTGCCTGCAGGAGTGGTTTAAATTCCGAGCGCTAGTAATTATATGTTTATTTATTTAATTATCATGCACACACAGGTGCGCTACAATATGTGCAACTAAATGCTAAGAAACTGCAACACACAGATAAAAGGAAAAATTAAATTAGGCAACAGCGATGCAACACGTATGTATGTACGTGAGGAATTCTCTGTCTCAGAATTATCAGAAGTCTCAAATGCCTGTTACGGCGAGCAGGCCTATTTCCTTCGGTCTTCTATGCTCGGTGCCCTTTGCAGATCTGACGGCAATGACTGCATCCTTTGCACCCCTATGACGCCCATTTGGTGCGGAAACGCTTGCGTTACAGACATCTGCACTCACATCTTTTTATGAACACCTGTAGGAAAAGTATAGGTGATTTTCGAGTCAACGAATGTGATGTTCGCATCCAGAAAATCGAACGACCCCCGGGACAAATTTCCAACTAGAGTTTTGACCTGAAGCTCAGATGGAAGGGAAGAGGCAAGGCGGTGAGCACAGCGAGACATATACAAGATTGACTAATGGTACTTCGCCGAGTTGGAGTCTAGCCCTTTGTAATAATACCGTGAGTGACGGTGATCCGCAAAACCTACAGTATGGGTAAGAACTGAATCTGAATTATACGTTTCGTCAAGTATGATGATGTCGCATTCGCAACCTGGATACGGAAACCCGCACTAATGTCTCATTCAACAGTCTTGTTCGACGCAGAAGATCGGGCGTGTCAGCGCAGCTGCGACTGGCGCGACGCCGGCTCGTTCTTCTCAAGTTGTTGAAGCGGGTGAGCGGCAACAGCTGGTGGAAAACGACTGATACGAACGATATGATACAGTCTTGTCGCTTGCCATAAGAAAAACGAATGGCACTGCGCCAGACGCAGTCGACCTAACAGGCTGTAGTGAACACTACTGCAAGTGCAGGGCAGAAAACTATGTTCATTATTACTGAGGTAATATCGTTTCGAAATATAATCATCTCCTGTCTGAGCTGCGCCGGCTAACACAGTCGAAACTCTCACTATTCTGACCCACGGCGATCGTAGTCGGGCTAATCCAGCATCCGCGATGATTCGCGTGAGCTCTCTTGATTCTGGAAAAAGAACTGCGTCTCCTGTGTCCCGCATAAAAACAGCAGGGACAAGCATAAACTCCCTCACAACCTTATGCGCTATCTCATTTTTGATCGGACGGTCTCGCCCAGACTCAGAAGAATTGCAGTTACTGGCACTTACAATTGTAGGCAGACCTCGCGCTCATTCTTCTCGAAAAATCCTCCCTTGTCCAATTAGTAGTCGTAGACTCGGAGATTGTCCTACTTCCGCGACTTTACAGTGAGTGACGAGGGTGCTGCAACCGTCCTTAGGTTCAAGTTCTGATACCCACTCAGTTGTTTTTCGGCAGAGCGGCGGGCATAAATCCTAAATGCGTGCCCGTTTTTGCTGATTGTGGTGGTGTTCATAAGTAATTCCGCTCTTTTTTTAATAGGAGGACGTACTGTCGAAAGAAATCCATCTCCAAGGTAGGACACGTCTCAGTTCATCAGCGATGTAACTGCAATGCTGCAACACTCCGTCATTTGACGTGTTTCTCAAATCCCTTTGCACAAGATGCACTCCAAGACTATTTCTTGCCACCGTTTTCATCTCTCGTGTTTTTCGTTTTTTTTCCACTGCTAAATGGTATTTAGCATTGAATGGCACGAAAAAACGCTTGAGCCAGAGGTGACAAGATACTCTTTGATGTCATGAGCAGGATTGGTAGTTGGCACGCCTCACGCTGCAAATATGAGTTATCGAGTAAGACCCACGCGACGCTTCGTGGCGCCTCTTACTCCTGGGTATGTGGCAAGAGAATCGTAATTCAGCGCTCTGGTGGACGTCGCGTCCGCGGATGTTAATGGTTCCAGGTAGTAGATGGCGACAACAGGCAATTCAGAACCGAAAATAGTCATGTCTACGATGACGGGGTCTACATGAAGTCCGGTGCTCCAATCGACAGGTTAACACGAGTTAAGAAAACGCCGCGCCATCGCCGCGCGCGGCGGAGCGGCAAATTACGATTCTCTTGCCCGTCTCCTTGCTCCATACTCGTGTGATTCGTTACCAGACAAACGTGAGAACTTCAGAGCGTTGAACATGGAATTGTATCAAGTGTAAGCAATTCTGTGAAACATCTAATTATACGCGAATAATTTGCTTCAGTTCTACAAAATCGACCAATCGACTTTGAACAGATTCGGAATTCAGTGATAAAATTGAGAGACCATAAATCATTGTTTCGAGAAGAAGCACATGCACTACAAAGTGCCGAGATAATGCCTATTATCATATATCACAAATGAGTTCTCAAACTGGGTTAGCTATACTTCGTATTTCACAATGTGCAATATCGTAGTCCATTATACAGATAGCCGTTTCAGCGTTTGTTAGCTGTAAGCTGCAATTTACCAGCATGTGGAGGAAGCTGTACAGATCTGATCAAAGCACTCCATTATAGGATGTTCATGCTGAAATATTGTTTTTATGAATACCGTCTTGCACTCAGCTGCTGATATCAAGGATATCCCGATCGGCTGCTCGGGACTTGGGGGAGGGGGTGGGGCTGGTATTGCACTTCCAATACTTTCTATTGTTAGTTCATGTCAGCTACAGGTCTGAGTTGTGTGACAGCTGTAAACTCTTGTGAACTACTGAATGGTGGCAACTTAAAGCGCCACTTTGTTCAGCAAGAACTTACATGTCTTCACAAGTGGACTGCAGCAGAGCCTGAGCTGCACAACGTATCAGGCACCCCCCAGGGGGCGGAAGGCTCGGGACAGGGCGCTTGGAGAAGGGGGTGGGCGTTAGAACTCATCCAGGTGCGTTCTCCCATCATCCAAAAAGAAGCCGTTCCATTGTATGCGCTCTCACGCATCTGAATCATCACTTAAGCCTCACTCAAAAAGCCCCAGCCTCGTAAGGCTCTCGATCCGTCGATGTGCCAGCTTGAGTTCGGCTGTGAGCGTCTTGTTCGACTCCTCCAAGCGATCAATTTCGTCACGCTGTAATTACCTCTCATAAAATTCTCGAAAGAAATGACAACAATATGGGAAGCACTGAACGAAAAAGTTATGGACGATGTTCAGCTTTCACGAAGGTGTATCTTCGATGTTTCCAAGGACACTTCTATTAGGGTGTTCGGAATGTATTGAGAAGAAGTTTCAACAGCTCAACCTTAACACTTACAAAAGAATAATTAGATAGGAAATCTCATAGTTTTATGATATGATAAACATTGTCCATTCCATTTCCCTTAACTTTTGGGCGGGACTACCTTGCGTGGGAGCTGGAATGATGTGAGTACTGAGAATGAGGGGGCGTACGCAAGATCTAAGCTAAACTTCCATGTAGGAGACCGACTGATCTCCCATTACAGATAATTGTTAAGCGTGTTTTGTCCAGCATTGGGCGCAGTGCCTGATTCCAGATTTGACCGGTAGAGCGGCCAGAACGGTGAAGATGAAGCAAAAGTCGTTGGGAGTCGTAAGCGCTCGTATATTTTTCAGGTAATGCCAACTCTTAGCAAGAATGGAGAACCACAACCAACCAGCACTATGATTAATCTACAAACATTTCTCTTTCTCATAGTTCGGAGGGAATTTGCGCCTGCTACACTTCTTCAAACTATAAGTGTGAAATTTTCGGCCAAAACTTTCCGGACAATCTAATATATAAAAGTGCTTATATGGAAGAACGAAGAAGTTATCGATATTATCGATTAAAGCCTCACAACAAAGGACCGCCAAGGCTGCGTTCATACTTTTCGTCGGCATTTTGAGCGTTTTGGGTGAAAAGGGAAGCACAGGTATCGATCAAATATTTTGAGCTCTCTGAGCGAAAAAGCGAAAAGTCAGGCTTAGAGCGCCGGTTGATACCTATACTATCCTTTTAGCTGACGAAAAAGTATGAAAGCAGCCTAACCGAGAAGCATAGGGAAACCAAAGCGCTGAGTATCCTTGAGGTTAACTAGTAAAGTCGTTGCCGTTGAACAATCCCTTCTGGGAATACGGCACACACTCCACTTCTATTCAGAACCGTAGAGGCTGAATAAATCTGATCGGGCCTATGGAATGACCTGCGGACGCCAGTCGAAGCACAAATCACTGCTCAATCCTCCCAGACAAAACTGGAACCAATATAGTGCTTGGAGGGTAGGGCTCGGCTGGCCTGCTGGCCTAGGAATCGGGGGACATTCCAACAGTCAGCACTCGCGCGCTATGCGCGTCACATCGGCTTACTACATCACTCCGCCTCCACCTTCCTGAGGATAGCATGCGGCAATAGTTCAGCCCCTCTTACATCAGTTTCGGAACTCTCATAGTTGAAGGGGAAGGGTTAAGGCTATTCTGTCGCCCAAAGTTTCCCTAGTCAAGCCACTTGCTCATCCTGGGGGAAACCGCCAGAATGGGTAGAAATTCGATTGTCAGCCAGAGTGTGGAGTTCTCAATAATCAAGCCACTATTACAAGCGTATCCTACCAGTACGGTTTGACCGTTTGACTAGACGGTTTTAACTACCCCAACTCAAACAATTATTTTTGAGCTGCCAGGAGACAGAAAATCACTTGTCTTCCTAAGTTGGCGTGTTGCTCCTCATCCACCGCGCTATACTTAGAAGAAGAGTGCACTATGTAGGTACAACGTCTAATTGTAAGATAGATGGTGCTTGAAAGGCAACTCCGAAAGGAACTAAGAAATGGCTAGAAAGCTTACTGAAGCTTTCTTCTTGTGCGCAGCATCCAAATCTCGCTTCTGTAACTCTTCGATTGTTTCTTGCAGCTGCTGATTGTCTTTTCTGTAAAATGAACGATTCTTTGCAAAGCAACATCATCATTGACAAGGTCTCACCTCGCCTTCCTTAACGCCTCATTTTCCTTGTCACGACTGGTACTCGCCTCAGTAATCTGCTCTTGGAGAGAATCGACTTCATCCCTCAGTTTGATGACTATGGACTAAAACAAATAAGGAGTTAATACTGCTCCTCAGCCAAGGGCAAGGGAATAAGGCATCATAATCCGGTACTTGACCTAAAATGGTTTGAAGGAGTGCTGTATATTGGGGGGAAAATGATGAAAAAACCAAACGAACTGAAGCTATTGAAAAACTGCGGAAAAGGCCTTTGTCTACACTTTGGTGGACGTTAAGACGTCTAAGAGGAAGCAGGTTTGGACGAGTTTCTCTCTGGCATCACGCCAAGAACGCTTCGATGAATACAGCAGCTGAGGTTTCCTCCGGTATTATAACTGTTTTTATCGCTATTGCATTGGTAGTTCTTAATTGTAGTTATTTATAACCTTTCTGCATAACTTTTCAGCTCATCTGGATTTACAACAATGGAATGGGTGGGCTGTTGGTGTACGGCTTCGCCGGGCGATCCCCCTTCCGCGTGTGAAGTGGATTGCCCCAGAGTTTTCCACTGCATACGGGTGTCTCTCAATTCATCTACCTACCCGTTGCTCACCTTCACTCATATTCCCCGTTTCCTGGGCTACTTCGGATGCGTGTTGAGGATTTTTGTAACAGGCTTAATCCATTTCGGCGAATGCTCCGCCCATTGTGGGTGGAGCTTAGGCGACGTTGTGTGTACTCTGCAAATGCTAGCCCATGCCAAGACTATTCCAAGCACAATCAGTGAATTCCCACGAAACCCCCATTTCAGGCGGTCAGACAGATGCACAGACACACAAACAACTTCTGGTTTATATATAGAGAGATTACGGTTGTGAAGCTCCGTACTGCGGACCCGTGTCATATTACTGTCACTGAGGGTTCGTCGGGAGGGGATTCATACTGTTACCGTCATTTCATCCATTCCATTGTATTGCCCCTCCAGTCGGAGCCGCATAAGTACCATTTCTGATAGTTGGTCGAAGGGACTCCCCCTTCCCGATTTGCTGAAAGTGAAGCTAGGAGGAGTCCTATTTGTCCTATTTCGGAAAATTCTCCCAACACCAAAACTAGCCCTGAATGTAGGGTGATAGAGCAGGAGGAACGCTTGTGAAGGCATGAAGAACTAGAGACATCTTTTAGTCACTTGCCTCTAGGCGCTGCTTCTGCGCTATTTCCAGGTCGAGTTTCGCTTCCAGATCTCGTGACTTCTGCTCAGAAAGTAGTAGTTTATGCTTCTCGACAGTATGCTGAGCAAGGAAGGCTGCATTCGACGTCTCCTCATTCAACTGCTCGGTGAGCTTTTGCTTGGTTTTCTCCAGCTCGGCAATCTGAAATCACACAATTTGCCAGCACTCAAACGAAACCGGGCGAAAGGAAACCTACCTGCTCTATATGATCCGCTATCGCTATGTGATCGAGATGAGTTTGCTGTATCGCCGCTTTGTATTTCCTCATCAGCTGTTGGTATTGCTCATCCTTTTCTTCGATGAGCGCCATGCCACTGTTTTTCTCTTTCAGAAGAATCAGGGCTCTATCTTCGCGGCACTTTTGGCCACCAGCGCTTGTTCCAGCTGAATTATACCAGAGCTGCTCGGTGACAGTACATCTTTCAAGCGGTGAAACCCACCTGAACTCGGACTTCATTCAACTCGCTTTCCAGTCCATGACGGCCTTTCAACGCGCTCATCTTTGCAGCTTCCGCGTCTTCCAGTTGGTCTCTATAATATTCCAATTACAGCATTTATCAGAGTAATGGTCGGCCGGTCTCTAGACGCGTCGCGTGAGACTACCGCATGGACAGGCAAACAGGGACATTTGGAAACAAGCACCCATTTTCGAATCCTTTTCCAAAAATGGGCAGTTGTGCCGCCCAAAAACTAATGAAAAGGTAGCAACTGATTCAGTAGTGAAGGAAAAAGCAGAAAAAAA